ATGAATAAAAAAACGTTAATTATTTAAATAATATTTAAAATTGTACAAAAAAAATTATTCCCAAATAATTTCCTTTTATTTTTTTTCATTTAAGTGGACAAATCAAATGTCAAATCCCTTGTCACATAGGCATGAGATGGCCATATTTCGTTACACTAGGCAGTTCCCAAATGGCAATTAACGGCAGTTAAGTTGCTGTGATGGTAAAGGCTTAATTGCTTCTATTGTAGAGTTCAGGGGCTTATATGCATCAATTAAAGTCTGAGAGCTTAATAGCGATTCTGGGGTTAGTTCAGGGGCTTAACTTATGGTTTTGCATATTAATTTTAACAAGTTATTGACAGCTAGAAAGTATTAAATTCTCATTAAGATAGACAGTAGGACTGCAGTTCATTAAATTAACATGCAATCCTTAATTAGCAAATATTATATATTTGTTTCTAATTCTAAATGAAGTGGAAAGCTTCAACTTTAGACTTATTGCAAATTGAGACTTATTTTCTTTAACTATTGTAAATAAGGATGGGGATGTCACACCTTCATTCCTAGAAGACACAAGAAGGAACCCAAGGGCAGAGGACAATTCCACAGAAATTTTTAGGAATCTCAAAAAATTTATGTCGTGTTTATCTAAAGATGGGATGGAAAATCAAGAATCGTGTTGACTTTAATGAAATGTACGCATAGAGAGGAGGGGGTAAATTGCCACTTAAATATTTTACAATTCAAGGGTGAAATTTCCACTACAATGAAAGTTCAAGGGGTGAATTGAACAAAAAAAAATTAAATTATAGTCTTACGACATTTCCATCTCCACATTACCTCTTTCAATTAAAATTAAAAGATAAACGGCTAACCTAAGCAGTTAAGGGGCTGACTTGTCACCAAAAAGGGTAAAGGGGGCGAAGTGAGACAACTCAGCGAGCCGAGGTGTTGATTTGCTTCATCATTTGCCTATAAAAAACGCCCTTGTGTTTCGCTTCTCTTCAGTTTCTGCTTCCCTTTCTTCCTTCGGACAAAGACGTAGTTACGATCATAACACATAAACGCAGAAAATCAATTCAAATTTCCATTTAGATCTATTTAAGTTTGATTAGGGATATAGAAGTTGTGTGTGGTGTGTATATATATTTGAATCTCATCATTGTCTAACAAGATTTTTGTCATGCAGGGTTAAAGTCATGATGAATGCGCAAACCAGCCATCCTTTGGACCCGCTATCCGCTGCTGAAATCTCTGTGGCTGTTGCAACTGTCAATGCAGCCGGAGCCACCACTGCTCCTGAGGTTGCTATCCTATATAAGGCCCTCTTGATGATGTTTGTTGATTGATTCTAGAATTAACCTATATATATATATGTAGCTAATATAATTTTTCTTTTCAGCTCAAAGATAGCATGAGCTTTATTGAAGTGGTTCTGGTGGAACCAGATAAGAATATTGTTGCACTGGCAGATGCATTCTTCTTCCCGCCTTTCCAACAGTCCTCCTTCTTTTCCGGGACCAAAGTTGGGCTTCCTATTGTGCTTCCACCTAGGCGAGCTAGACTTCTTGTTTACAACAAAAAGTCAAATGAAACAAGTATATGGATTGTTGAGTTAGGCGCACGTCATAGGGGAAAAGTAATATCTTCCCATGTGGTTCCAGATGTTCAACCTCCCATGGTATGCCTTTGTTTCGTCCGGCTTAATTTTGAAATTTTGGACTTATTATTACAGTTTTATCCATATGAAAAGGTTTCAAAGATGATAATGGTTTTGTTTATAGGATTTTTATAGGACACTAATACAAACACATTCCACAATACTCTTATTAATAAATAATTATTTTTAAATTTGAATTAAAGAAAAGAAAACTTAAAATTATAAATTCTAATAAATAAATTAATGGGTATTGATGGATGTATTAAACCAAATGGTATATCAATCATTTTCCATCTTTTTTAATATATGTATATTTAGTTTGAAGGAAATAGATG